AAGATCTTACTTTTCACTGGCGATTATCATTTTACTCATGCATGGATCACACGGGAACTCAGCCATACGCCGTCCTAGTTTCGTTAATTCTCCTCGGTGATTGAGAGCTCCAAGTGCGTACAGTTGTTCCAGTGCAATTACCAGCGTTTCCTAAAAACAAAACGAACATTGGAAAAGCTGCACAGGCAAAAACAGGAGAAGATTAGGCCGCGTTCATACTTTGCGGAGCGCAAGGCAGCGTCTCGAGCCTTTCGAGCAACTAGCAAAGAATGGATTTAGCTTTAGCGTTTTCAGCGTACGCCAGCGTTTTGAGCGTTCTCACAGGGAATTTCGTGCTACCGGTGGGCAGCCGCTGAAAACGGCGGTGAACGCTTGAAACGCTAGATCGGTATCCCTACGTCGCTCGAGACGCTTAAAACGCTGACGTACGCTCGAAACACTCAGATCGCTGCCGTACGCTCAAAAAGTTGACGCAAAGTATGAACGCAGCGTCACTGGGTCAAAAACTTACTTGAGGTGGCGGATCGAGAAAATCGAAGTGAACGAGATCGTGAATTCCAAGAGATTTGAGCATCAACACTACGTTACCCAGATTTGTTCGCTGGATCTGAAGAAGGGAGTGCTTAAATACAAGCTGCATGCACATCTGCGAGGGATGATCAGGCCCACAGCCGTAGAAGTACGCCGCATTCGTTACTCAAAAGGGCATACTTACAGGTTGGGGAGCAGGTAAATGAGGATGTCGTTAGGGTCTCCATTTGAAGCCACGATCGCGGCTATTTCGAGAACCACAGCTAGCTAACCAAAGGAGAAAAGGCACAGAAAAGAAGGGCAAATAGCTTGGCTAGGCATATAGGTGATAGTGCGGTAAGTTACTTGCTGCGTACCTAGATGGTACGGGCGGAGCCCTAAGCAGCATCGAGCTCGGATATTCGACGAAAGAGGCGCACTTCTACAGCTGCGGACCTGTTTCCGTCACACATGACAGAAACCAGGATACCCGGAGATGAATGTGTAGCGATCTTCAGTCGGAGTACAAGAATAATCTATCAATTCAACCGTTTGGACATAACGTACTTCAGGAATGGGCTGATCCTCTAGTTCATGTTTGTAAGCCCATGCTGTGTAAAGACGAAAACATTTTCCTGGCCCTGTTCGTCCTGCTCGTCCAGCTCTCTGGTTAGCTGAAGCCTGAGACAAATAACTGAGAAAAGTTTTGCGGCAAGAAAATCCTATACGGGAAGACCAAACCTTTGAGATCGTGACTACATGCAAGTGTTCGACTCCACTTCTCGCATCAAACGAATTTTGTTTGGAAAATCCTGGATCGATGACGTAACATATACCATCAATTGTGACAGAAGTTTCTGCGATATTTGTGGCAAGGATGACCTAAATAAGACAGTTTTGTCATATATTTAAAATGATACAATGAAAACTCACATACCTTTCTAGCGTTAGGCGGTGTCGGTTCAAAAATTTTCGCTTGTAGATCCGATGGCAGATTGGCGTAGATGGGCAGCGGTATCAACTCTTTAATTTTGCTTCCTAAGGCTTTAGTTTTCTCCATGAGGGCTTCCTGTACGGATTCGATTTCCTCCTGACCTGAAAGAAAACAGCGTTAGGGATAATGCTTTCGATGTTGATCAGACTTGTTTTGAAATGCGCCATGCACTCGTCTTCTACATCAGATCGTGGTGTTACGCCAAATATGACTGCTCGCCAATGTAGGAACCGATGATTTATCCTCCCACAAGGCCTGGTACCGGTTAAACGACTCCACAAGGATGAGGGACAAAGATCGATCCGAAATTTGACTGCCGGACCAAGCACCTGATAATGGGCGCCAGTTGTCAGTACAGCCCCTTTCCTCCAAAGAAAGCACATAGAAGGGCAAAAACATCATGAGCGGGTACTGCTTTCAAGACTGCGCGTACCAAATTTCCTAAATTCTGAATATAATAGAAGCTGCTCGCGATGAGTCTTCTGAAAATAAAGATCCTAAAAGGGGTTTTCACTCTCGTACAACTACGAGCACTTCGTTGGTCCCCGTTCCAGTTTTGTTCACTGCGGGTTCCGGGGTATGTCAGATCTGGGCTTCGCCAAACTCCAGCCCGTCTTCCACTAACTGTACATCACTCGCTCGCTTCAACAAATGGTGGACGATGGACTGGCGCGGCGCCAAACCCAATCCCCCACCCTTTACACGCCCCGCATCCACAGCGAACAAGACTACCTCTACACTTTGGCCAATGTGTTTTCATTCCCATGGCCTAATATATTAATGAACATAACGCAGTTTCCAGGGACGAAAACACAGCTCAAAAAAGGACACTAAAGCGGCGTCGGCAGCGAACCTGTCAAAAACACAAGAATGTCGCCAGGCAAAGGTTGAGTGAGATGGATTTGCATGACCGTAACCATAACAGCATCCATGTAGTCGGCTTCTGGAGCTTGTGTATAGTAGATGTCAACGGGAAACCTGAACTGCAGACCATTATGTTCTAGCTTCGCAAAGGCAGCAACTGAAATAGATTTCCGGGAAGAGCAAACACACCTTCTACCAAGAACGTTGAAAACTTTTCCGCATCAAGGGTAGCCGAAGAGATCAAGAGTTTCAGATCCTAAAACAACAAAGTTTACTTTGAACACAGAAAAAATCAATTTGAAAATTACCTTTCTGAACCGTGCTATATCCTTAACAAGACCAAAAAGGATGTCTGTGTGCAAAGTCCTTTCGTGGGCTTCATCAATCATCATAACACTAAAATGAAATTATAATAACTAATGTGATAGCAAAGGGACTTAAAGACACTGTTCAGTTGTTTGAGAGGTGCCTCTACCATGTCTAGGAGGACAGGCCTTCGATTTTACATACGCCAGGCACGCCGCAGCTACGCCACGCGCTTCCCCATACGTCAAATTATAGTCACACGTACTACCTGTTAAAGACCCCACGTATGACTGGCCGAGTGACTTGACCACTGCCGTGACTGTGGCGTGCGTATCACCTATTAAGTAGTGGGCGGAGACACAAGGAACATTAAGCCACGAACCTTTATATTTCTTGTCAAGCGTTCTTAAGTGGCTGGAATGCTACGCCTCCACTACCGTAGACCTATGTCTACCCAGAAAAAGACCCACCTCTCTCACAATCAAATACTCGCACAATGTGTCTTTAGGCCAGCGACTACAAACCACGAAATTACAAAACCATACCTGTAACTAGCGAGATCCGGTTCGTTCAAAAATTCACGTAACAACATTCCATCCGTCATATATTTCAAAACGGTTTTCTCTGAAGTACAGTCTTCAAATCGAATACTGTAACCAACCTAAAATTGTTACGTACTCACGAATCCTCATTTAACAACAAAGTTTAGCACAGACCTGCATGCCCAGTTTACAGCCGACTTCCTCAGCCACTCTTGCTGCTACGGACATTGCAGCAACACGACGTGGCTGTGTGCAACCGATTTTCTTTCCATCTTTGCAGAAACCCTTAAATTAAGCTAAACTTGAACAAAATTCAAAAAAATAACAAATTCAGCGACTTACAGCCTCGTAGAGGTACTGCGGTAACTGTGTAGTCTTGCCTGAACCAGTCTCTCCTTCTATGATCAGAACCTGAAAAAGGAGACACGAGTGAGTCTTTCGAGCTACATGAAAGCCTCCCCTTCCCTCCGTCTTTTCGTCGTGAGCGGACAAGGTAATCGTAACTTGAATCGCCCTCGCGCACGACGTTTTCCTCTGAAGAAGGCAAGACTCCCTCCCAAGGTATGTAAACCATTTCCGTCTCTCTACGATTAAAACTGCAACGACATGGCTAGACAGCTCGTCTACAGCGCGCGCAGCGTCGCTCGCCACGCCTAGCTTAGCATAATACCATTGTCTTGTCACCCAAACTTTTGGTCCCTTCCCTCTTTCTTCGCTTTTTCTTCTTTAGCACCTCTCAGAGGATTTGCCATTCCACGCCACGACTTTCCAACTTTCGCAGCGGAAGAAATTTAGTTTGACAGATGCCCTGTCACCACCTTTCGGATCAGCAGGGCACACACAGTCAATACAGAGCGAAAATCGCCAGAAAAAAGACATTTGTTTAGAAACTCGGCCAAACTCATTACCAATGCATTTCCTTGGACGGTACCTGGTGTTCCTTGACAGCTTCAATAAACTGATCACGGAATGCATACACTGGCAGCGACTTCCGCGTTTCCTCTATCGTCATCTTTCTCTTCTGGGCAGCGGTTATCTCCTCCTCCTGAGATCAACGGAGCAGGAAAACATGAACCATCGCAAATTACACTTAAAACAGTCACATACCTTCTCATCCAAAGTACCAGGCATTTGCAGAGCTTGAATAAAGTCGATCTTGTCGTCGAGTAGCAACTCGAACTCTTCTTGTTTCTGAAAAGAACTGCTGCTTTCCTGGAATATTAATATGGCTCATTAGGTAAACTAACAGATTTCGCGTCCTTCGCACCATAATGCAGCATACTCGCCAAAAGTTGCTCATGTTCCCCACTTGGCGTTGCCGTCAACCTGTAATCAGTACACTTGTTAAGTCCGCTGTTAAGTGTCGCAATCAAGAACAATGTAGCATACCGCGAGACATTTACCAGCGCAGGCGGAAATGCTTCTGACAGAAAAAAGCGAATAAGTTCTGGGAGAAATTAGGGAGGGCAAATTTGGGGGGAAAAAGTGGTAGCGAATGGTGAAGTCGTTGTAGAGAGGTGCGCAAGGTAGGATGGGTGGAAAGTGGAATCGTAAAGCAGAGAGGGAAGTTGAGAGTTGTATTTTGGTGAATTTTTCCGCAGAGGCGGGACGTGCGCCTGATTTCAGTACAAGTCCGCCACCACATACGTTAATGGTTATGTTAGTAAGTCGCTACGTTTCATGGCCCGCCAATGACCACAGAATCGCGTAAAGCGGAGAATTTCTTTGAATTTTGTCATGTCAGACGTTTAGGGCTGAAGGATGAAGGATTTCTGGCGAAGCCCGCGGAAAACCAGCTTCAGTGTGGGCGAACCAATTTCCTTAGGCCGAAAGGGATTTCTACATTTCACCCTGAGCTCCTTTTCTTCCAACGTCAAAGAATTTTTTATGAGACACGACATGCCCTAGCGCCTAACTTGCTGGACTGCGGACCTATATGGACTACTGCCAAACGTCGACCAAAACAACAAGCTGTGACTACGAGCTGTGACTCTCACAACTGACGAAGTTACTAGAAACGCAATACATACCTCCATGACGAACTTCTTCCGCTTCCTCAACATATTCTGTAGGAATGGACTTGACTTTTGCGTCAGGCACATAATATCGTTTTGTTTTCATGATGTCAGCGGCTTTCTCATGCTGTTCCGCATACTCCAATACTTTCTTGCGATATTCCATATCCTTTCGTTCACGTTCGGTCAGACTAAAGGAGCAATCTTCAAATGATGTCCACAAAATGATACTGAAGAAACTTACTCTTCATTTGCGAACAGAATTTCATCATCATGCACAATCTTCCGCAATTCGTCAAGTTTGTCGTCCTTTCTTTTAGCTAGGTACTGCCGACGTGACTCTTCTCGGAGCTTATCGACTGAATACGACTCCTTGTCCTGCAAAGACTGAAAGTCGGGAAAAATGCGTGAGAAGAACAAGCGAAATTCCAGAGTCAGGCACACCATGTGGGAGCTTTCATCTAACTTCGAAATACTACTCATAGAAGACTAATTAACTAAGCCACAGTAGGCATCGTCAAAAAATCGCAGAAGTAAAAAGGAACCTATTAAGGAAACTGAAAGGCAGGCCTACCTTGTTGTCTGGAATCTTCCTTTTCTGCTCAAGCACATTGCGAGTCTTTTCCTTTTCTCTTTTCCGTATCCTGGCAGCCAATTCATCCCTTTCTTTAATATCACGATCAAGCTCTCCTTCGATAGCTTCGAAGTCGGAGTCACTGGATGCTTCCTTCCTCTTCTCCTGCTTTGGTTCCACTTTTTTAGATGTTTGTGGAGTCTGAAATTCTTAAATGAACTTTCACAAGAATAACGAAATACAGACAAAACTCTTGACACAGGCGGAACTCTAGCCCGCATTTCACCGTTACATGCGGAGGCCGTGATATCCATACATACCACGCTGGTTTCTTAATCTTAAAACAAAACAAGTTCTCGCATGAACATTTTGCCCTGGAAATCCGAACTTTCGAGCTTCCCACGAGCGTTTCGCGATCATACGCCAGTATACACATTTTCAGGTGAATGCAGACCCCTTCAAAGACGTATTCTACAACAACTGGATGGGTGGGAAGACACACCCATCGCACTTTCCTCATTGGAGCCACCTTTTGCTCCGGCATCCGACCTCTCACGCTTTTCACGAGCCTTTTGCTATTTTACGCGAGCATACATATTTTCAGCCGAATGCAGACCCCTCAAAGACGTATTCCACGACAAGTGGATGGACTGGACGCACTCCCATTGCGCCTTCCTCACTGGATCAATCGGTTTCTCGTTGCCTCTTTTCGTTGCTTCGTAAGAGAAATAGGTGCATCAGTGTAGACACTGTAGTTACGAGTCTCTCCGGATGTCGCGAAATGCGCCTTCATCACGGCCATAAATAAGCATGTTTCTGCGCGCAACACGTTCGTTCAAATCCCAGCACCAAATTTTGAAAACAAGTGGATGTTGACAAAGGCGATTTGCATCTGCTTTCAACAAGCGGAAATATACCATTTTCACTTCAAATTCACCACTTTTCAAAGCAAATTCACCACTTTTCAAAGCAAATTCACCACTTTTCAAACCAAATTCACCACTCTTTTTAGACCGGGCAGTTCACCCACCAGATCACGCCAGACACCACTGCGAACCCTGCCTGAATTTGCCTGACTTAGATTTTCAACACATGGCCGACTCCGCCCAGTCTTGAA